CACTTCCTGTCAGCTCCGACACATAAACATCATGTCAGTGAGAGCAGCTGTTTGCAGGACTGCTGAACAGCTGCTCTGACGCTGCTAACGTCACAGACGTTTGTTCAGAGCTCGGCTCGGTTACAGCAGCTAAAAAGGCACAAACAATAAAAACAATGACACTTCTCAGCCAGCTGTCAGAGTGCGAGCACGCTACACGTGGACAGGACTAACACACAGGCCGAGGGCGTGGACCGAGGGAGGAAGTGGCGACACGCATCGTGCAACCTCCCTGTGAGCAGAGCTGAGGGACGTTTATCCGACTCGTCTGACTGATGCTCAGAAACGATGCGTGTGGCGTTTAGTGTAAAGAGACAAACTGCTCATCACGAGCTGCACGTCTCACACACGCTGATCCATCAGCTGTGGCGAGCTGACACCACATGACATCAGTCCCTTCAGGAGCTCCGTTTGTGAGCGCAGCTGTTATTCACATCAGCCCGCCGTCTCTGCCGACACCCCGCCGCTGGTCCCGCCCTGATGTTTGAACCCTGCCGGCAGGTTTCAGGGTCAGAGGTCAGATGAAAGCAGCTCTCAGAGTGGGTGTAGTGCATGGATCCAACTACACCACCCATAAACTCCAGCGTGTTACAGCGGGCACAGCGTGGCTTTATTAAACCCTTTAACAGCCTTAAATACTGCCAGCCAATAAGAATCCACCATTAGAAGATTTAGCCTCTATTTTAAAACCCGAGCGCTGCGTCCGAATTCACACATGTGGCATGCTAATTGGTCGGTTCAAAGACAACTGGAGCCACGGGATTGGACCGCTGCAGGACACGAGCTCACGCCCGCCCCTCTCGGTGGAGCAGCGGTTAGCGCCATCGCCTCACAGCAGGAAGCGTCTCCCCGAGGTCGCCGGTTTCCTCCCGCACGCCAAGCACGCGCTCGTTAGCTTAACTGACTGCAGGTGAGAGAGTGAGCAGCGAGTGAGCGGCGAGTGTGTGTCACCCGCGATGGACTGGCCACCTGTCCAGGTGGGACGGGCGAGTAAGTGTTTACTGATCGCTGAGCAGCAGCTCAGAGTCACCCTGAAGGTTTTCTGGAAACAGAACCAGACTCACTGCTCCTCCGGGATCCTCTCCACTGCCCTGAGGGATTGTGGGTAACAGACGTAGCTGGCCAGCGCCTGCATCAGAGAGTCTTTGATATCTGAGGAGAGAGAGCAGAGATGCATTCAAAGACAGCTGGAAAAATAAACATTGCAGCAGGAAAACAGCTTCACTGTGCAGCAGCGCCCCCTGCTGTTTGCTTCCAGGTCGGTCTCACACACACACACACACACACACACACACACACACACACACGATCAGTTACACCTTTCTAATGACACACTTATCAGCAGGCTCTCACTTTCCCATCCTCTACCCTTCCTCCTCCTCCTCCTCAGTCTCCTCATTAAAGATGGCAGTGAGGCGCGTCGAAGCCGTCGTCTCCTCCGCTGTCCTCCAGCAGGACTTCATAATTAACAGGTCCCGCCTCGCCGTTTGGACCAAACCGCTCAAGGCCGGATTTCCCCGCACGCCGTTTTATCTCGGATGATGGATGGAACTGCTGAGCTCATCATTTCTGCTGCGAGGCGTCCCGCGGTCCTCGGGGGATTCGGTTCATTAGTGATGGCGGGCTCCAGTGCTCGCCCTTCGTCTCCTCGTAGATGCACATTCGGTATGAATGTGAAGCTGCTACGTCACCTCGTTCAAGTTACCACATTCACACATACGAGGCTAAATGTTCGTCCTCAGCCTGGATCCAGATCAGCTCTCTGATTACACCAAGAGGAACCTTTGACTGTGGAGACCCATGTGACCTGCTCACACACGACACCCTCCTACTGGCCAACATGCAAACATCTCCACCCCTGTAAGGTGGTCATTCATAGACAAGAGGTGGTGAGGGGCTCAGAGGAGAGCCGCTGCTCCTCCGTATGGAAGGAGGCAGTGGAGGAGGTTCAGCATCTGACCAGGAGGCCCAGCACCACAGCTGGAGGAGGTGGAGGTCCAGGAGTGGGTGGATGGGTGGGTGGAGTATTTTACATATTTTAGGCATAAAAACTCAAGACTTTCGTTTGTGCTACAACAAAGTGTTGAGCACCCAGCAGGGGGCGCTGCTTCCTCTGACTGAAGCTGATCTGCACTAAAGACAAACACGGGGACAGAGAAGGACATGCGGGGACAGATTAAAGGAAAAGCCGTCCTAAAGGGTCAGCTGTGTGCTCCACCAGTGCTGCACAGACCCACACCACCCTCAGCTGTAAGGCTCTGTGGGTGGAGACACCAGCAACGTGCAGTGAAGCTAAGCTTGTTGCAGCTGGCCTCACTTTATAGAAATAAGGTTTTCTTCTCAACAGTCTCAGTAAGAACTGAAGAGGTCGAGAGGAGAGCGCCCTCCAGGCCGGTGGAGGCGTGTCTTTAATTAGAAATGAAGCCCAGTGTCCCACGCTGCACTGCGAGGGCAGCAGGACCGCAGAGAGGAGACTGCTGATTCCAGCGTGCTGCCCGTTACTCAACTAGGATCAAAGGTGGACTGCTCTGGCTCGCTGTGATTGGATGGAAACTGTGAGGCGTTTTCATGAAGTGGTGCCAAGGTCAGGGTTTTCCTTTAATCTGTCACACATCTTTATTGAAAATCTCCCTGAGACAGAAAAATGTTATAAAGCAAGATGTGTGTGTGTCTGCGTGTGTGTGTGTGTGTGTGTTACCTGTCCCAACGATGCGTGGATCTGCAAAGTGCTTCGCGAGGATGGCGGCGAGCTGAGTCAGAGTTTCCTCGTAGCCTGAGGGAGAAAGATAAAGTAAAGTGTGTGTGTGTGTGTGTGTGTGTGTCTGTGTGTGTCTGCTTGTGCGTGTTTGTGATGAGCAGCAGAGTCTGTAGTTATGATTGTAAATGGCTTCAAACACACTTTCAGGCCTGAGGCTCATTTAGACCATCGGCTCTCAAACTGGGGTTCACGGACCCCCAGGGGTCTGCAAGCCAAAGATTGGAGGTCCAGGAAAACTCGTAGTGGCTCGTACATACACGTGCATCATCCGGGGTCGAGCTAATTACTCCAAATATTAATAAAATAATAATAAAAGTGCGTCCAGTTCATCAAGTAACGCAAACGTCAAACCAGCTAAAATGAGACCGTATGACCTCAGTATGACCTCAGTATGACCTCAGTATGACCTCAGTATGACCTCAGTATGACCTCAGTATGACCTCAGTATGACCTCAAGTCGGCTTTATCCAGGATGCAAGTGTCTAAGTACTAACAAATGAATCAATGAAGCGTCTCATCACAAAGCACGTTTCATCTGCATGAGGACTGTAAGGGAAGAGGTTTCCCCTGACGCCGTCAGACTGCGAGCTGCAGGAGCTGCTCGGATCACCTGGTACCAGGTACGACCGAATGGAAACCTCTGATAACCGTGGTGAACCGTGCCGAGCAGGTACTACTGCTAACGAAGCTTTGCCCTCTTCTTTCACAGATGATGGTGTCATTGCGTGTGAATGGTCACATGGTGTGCCCATCAAAATACTGCGCCGCCTGTCTGCATGGATTCCCAGCAGGGCTGCAGATGCGGCTCCCACATACCGGCGGCCCGTTAATGACTGACGGATGAAATCATCTCGTACGGCTGACACGCCCACTCTAGAGCTCAGGAAACGCCCTGTTGAGGTCAGAGGAGAAGGGCAGACTGCTTCGAGCTGATAGGAAGTCTAAAGAAATAACCGCTAATCGATAACCAATGAAATAACTCGTTATAACCAAGGTGTGCAGAGGAGCAGCAGCAGATCGCCGTCTCACTCCTGAAGCTAAGAACAGAAAAACGATCAATCTGGACGTTTCCTTACGTCTGCTGCGACGCACACGTGGTCGGCTCAGAGGTGGGGAGAGCACGACCACTGTGTGAGCGTTCAGGCTGTGGGGGGGTGATGCTGTGGGGAGACTTTCAGTACAAGCATCGTTTAAACACACAAACACGAGACGGGAAACTGGAGACAAAAACCCGACGTCACAGAAACGACATCAACCTGAAACAGGATCAAAAACTCATCAGCACAGCTGGACCACGACTCGCACAGGTGCAGACACCTCCGACAGGTGAGGGTGGAAACGCTCGGCTTCACAGCAAAGACTAACACAAAAATAAATCTTCCAATTGTCTTCCATAACAGCTCTGATGAAGCGCGCCCTGCCTCAGGTCAGCCTCAAACATCACCTGCAGGCTGGGTGGGCGGTCCTTACCGGGCAGCTCGTCCATGCCGTTAGCCGGGCTGAAGTAGTTCTTCAGGGCGCTGTACGCGTTCATGGCGACGTTGAGGTAGAACTCTGATGTGAAGGCGAACAGAGAGCCGGTGTTGTCGGCGTGCTCGATGGTGCGGATGCAGACACACAGCAGCCAGTAGATGTCCAGCATCTTCTCCTGGAGACAGAGCAGCAGCTCAGAAACAACAAAATCCACCGTTTAACGCAGACGCGCAGCGGGCGCAGCGGGCGCGGCGGCCTGCTCACCTTGGAGTAGATGGTGGCGTTGATCCAGGCCAGCCTCCTGCTCAGGTGGTTCAGCTTCTCTGCAAAAACCTTCTGGCTCTTCTGCAGCTCCTCCAGGATGTCGGCCCTCTGAAACAGACACGCCATCATTAAGCAGCCGAGCGTCGGTGCGGCGTTCGTTTACTCTGTTATTCCCTGGACCGCAGGAACGGAGACGCTGCCAGCTGCTGTGCAGATGTGAGCAGGTACGTGTGCCTCTGATCTGCCATGACGTGCACGCTGCAGGTTTCTGGTTCCCTGCAGTTAACGAGGACATACACGGCCTGACTGAGGCCCTCGCCGACCACAGGACGCGCTCCTGATGGGGGCGCTCCTCCTACGCTTCCCGTCTGCCTTCAGAGAACGAGTTTACTCTGCGGCACTAATGAGAGGAGCTTCAGCATCACAAGGGGCTGACAGCAGCGCGGCCAATTACCTCGAGAAGAGCTCCGACAAACAGAGAGGAGTGCGTCGGATTTATTAATGAGGACGGACCAACAGCGGCGTTTGAACGAGGGTTTCTAGACTCCGTGGAAACCAGAGGAGGCCTGAGTCTCACTTTAACACATTTAAGTTTAATAACTGCAGCGACCATCAATAAAGAAATCCTGCAGAGAGAACGACAGGAAAACATGAAGCGTGGCAGAAGATGAGGCCTGTTGGTGGGAATGCGTCGCCTCAGTGAGGGGTGGAGGGGTCGTTAACCGAGCCACCCCCCCTTTCACTGAGATGCTCTTTTGTTCTATTGCTCGTGTCGTTGGATCCAATCAGAAGTGATCTCACGTGCAGACAGAGAGCAGACACACGGACACGTTTCTGCTGTCGAGGGAAATAAGACGCTCTGTAACCACAAATCAAAAGCTAAGCAGTCGTTTTCGTTAGCCTGCAACAAAGGTCTTTCTCCCATAGGGGGCGCCACAGCCAATCATCTGCCTCCATCTCCCAGCATCCATGAACCTCCTCTGAGCTCCTCCCCCACTGCAGTGATAATCTGTCTGACGGGTCAATCAGCCAATCAGGTCCCACCACTGACCCCACCCACCTCACCAATCTGAGCCTGGTCTGAGTGACCTGAGTGATGAGGGTCACTCAGACCAGGCACTGCTTCTAAAACTCGCTCTGATGTCCAGCTGAG